CTCGTCATCCTTTTCCTCTCCTCCTCCTCCTTCTCCTCTCCTCCTCCTCTCTCCTCCTCCTCCTCCTCCTCCTCCTCCTCCTCCTCCTCCTCCTCCTCCTCCTCCTCCTCCTCCTCCTCCTCCTCCTCCTCTTCCTCCTCCTCCTCTGGTTCCTCTCTCTCTCTCTCTTCCGTGTCCGATTTCCAATGGTAGCGGCCACCCCGCCCCGAAACAGTCTAAAACTAGATACAAAACGGCGCCCAGAAGTCACTACCTTGACCATTGTTGGCATCCCTGCTTCACTACATGCTTCCCGACGCCCAACTCCCAGACAGCTCACGGGCAGATGAGGATGCGCGAAGCGTCAAGAGCATGCGCCTGCCCTTGCACAGGTAAAGACGAAGGTCTGAATTCTCAGACCTCAAACCGCCTCAGCGAAAAACAGGCGCCGCCAGCCGACGTGACCTATCTGTGCGAGAGCATTAGCAACACAAACATGCTCATGGGAAGCGCACTCGGACATATTTCTTGTGCTGGATCAGATCGTCGTCACTATTGCCCTCCACCTGGCGCCTGCCCAGCGAAGATAGGGGGGCAACTTTAGTGGGGGACCGGCTCAAGGGGGGCGACATCGAGCCTGAACCAGCGATACATCGCCGATAAATCGGAAGCAGGCCCCCGAGAGCGAAACCACGAGTTCCTGGGCGTGCAGCGCCATCAGGCCTTCTCGTCGATTGATGGGGGACTGGGGGCCAGCGCATTCCCCCCTGAGCTTTCCCCCCCTAACGTGGCCCCCTGGTCTTCGCGCCATGGCCACAACTCGGGTCTTCTGTAGCCGCTCGGGGCGATCTGGGCGCCCCTGGAAAGCTCTCGGCGAGTCGCAGCTGCTCGGGAGTGCCCCAGAGCTGGAGAACCGACGAGAACCGAAGAGAACGTCCGAAAACCTCGAACCTGGACCGACCCCCCCCCCCTAACGTTGCCCCCGATGTTTGTCCTCCAGCCGGCGCAGGCCCAGCGAATGAGGGGCAACGACAGGGGGTATAGGCATAGGGTGGTATGCATCGACCTCGAATGGCCGATACATCATCCATGTATCGTCGACACATTGTCGATGCAGACCGCCTCACGCATCGTCTATACATCGTCGATGCATCGCCCTGACATCAACGATGCACCGTCGATGAATGAATCAACCATTCTAGGTCGATGCATCCCCCCGATTGACTACCCACTAAGGCACACCTATCCAACCCGAAGTCGCCGTTGGACCTGCCGATTCCCAGTGGGGAACGTCGTCCTGATACACCGAGAAAACACCATGGAACCCGCGCGCACACCAACCCGAACTTTTTGTTTGGGGGGGGGCTGAGACCGTCATGTTGGCTTGGGGCGGTCTGGTAAACACTGACCTATGCCCATCCCCCCCTATCCTGGCGGCGCGCACACAGGGGGCCTAGGGGGACGGGGGAAGGCTTCTTGGAAAGAGGGCGGGGGGAGTGGAGGGAACGGCGGCCCTACACCTACAGATGAGGCCCGCGCCCTCCCCCCCTCCCCCTGCCCCCAAGCTGCTACAAGAGGGAAGGCTACATCAGGGCCGAAGACCCCCTCTGGCGCCGAAGAAGCCTGGGTGCACGACGAGGCCTGGACAAACAACCACAGAAGGACCATCCGAACCTCGGGCGCCAGGTGCTCATTCTGGGGACCTTCCCAGAGCCACTCGTCCCACTCGTGCGTCGAAGCTGCGTCGAATTGCCGTCGGCTGGAGTCGAACCTGAGTCAAACCTGAGTCGAACCTCAGTCGGACCTGAGTTGACCTGGAGTCGAGCTGGAGTCGAACAGATCCGTCAGATGGGCCCCCAGGAAGGTCCCCAACAGGACCATCGAAAAAGCGGCCCTGACCTGTGCGCGTGGCCGACTGTCGCTGCCCCCCAGCGACGGCAACAGGCGACCAGAGAGCCCCAGACCCCACCATTCTGCCTCACGCTTCGAGCCGCCTCGGTCTGTGAGGGCACCCGGGCCGGAAACGGGGCGCGAAAGCACGCCCGCCGTGAAAAGACTTGCAAACGCCAGGATCTCGAGCGCTCCTCCAAGTCCGAAGCGCTCCTCACCTCTGCGCGCGGCTGGCCATCGGTGAGCATCGGTGATCCGCCCCCCATCCCCAGCGGCGTGGCCTGAGCCCCACTGGCCGATTTGCCCCCCGAGGTGGGGACGTAGGCCGCTCCCTGCGGGTTTCGAGGGGTGCCTCCCCGACTGGGGTGGCAGCTTGGTGGGGGTCTCGACGGGGATGAGCATGGGGATGGGGGTCGGTTGAACGATACCGACTCGGGGTGCTCCCCGGCGACGGCAGCGGGCCACAGCCGCAGCAACAGCAAAAAAAAAAAGAGCAGCGGCGCGCCGCCGAGCGCCGCTGGGCGCCCGGCGCGGGCGGCGAGCGGGGCCCCTCGGCGGAGGGGCCGCGCTCGAGCGGCGGCGGCGGGGCGGGGCGGGCACAGGCCCCCCGCCCTCGAGGAGTAGAGGCCCCCAAGAGGCCCCCAGGGAGGCTCCCAAGAGGCCCCCGCGAGGCTCCCAAGCGGCCCCCAAGAGGCCCCCACGAGGCTCTCCCCTCCTCCTCCCCCTTTCCCCCCTCCGGGGTGTCCCCCCTAGTCGTCAGGCGTCCTTGCCCGCGCTCGATCTTTCAACCACCCCTTCCCCCTGGCATTTGGCCGGAGCGGCAGGGCCAGACAGGTGGTGTACAGCCGTTAGACTGGGGTTATCGCGAAGATGAGCTTCCCAAGCGGCCCCAAAACTACCGCCAGGAGGTCCCCGAGAGCTTCGTCGTTGTGGTCGTGGTTGTCGCCGCCATGCAGGGTCGGCGGCACCGGCCGTAAGGCCTTCGCAATATAGAAGGCAAAAATCCACCCCGATAATGTAACAACCCCGACACGCGAAGCCGTTTCGTAATCGCACCCAAAGAAGGAATCAAGCAGGGCAGGACTGTTTAGTAAACGCCCACGGCCGTTTCGTCAATGCCACTTGTCCGGCCCGGGTGGTTTCCCCTTCCAGGAAGGAAGGAAGCCAGCACGATAGAATACTCAAGTTCCACCAGAAAGGTCGGGTGAGTCCTCCTGCAGGCGGATTCTGGACGACAAGTAAAAAATAGTCGTCAAAAGAGACTCAAAAGGAGCCAAAAAGAATCGAAAGATCGTCCCCCAACCATTTGTCAATTTTTGAATATTCCTCCTGTAGAGGGACGTGCCCGACTTAAACCGAAGGGGGGTGACCCTGACGGGGGGCATGGGTTCGATCCGCAAGTGCACCGAACTGCCGCAAGCAGATGCCCCCCGCATCCCCACCCATCGGCAACTATCGGGGGTTGCCGGCGGCTGGGGGGCATGTGTTTTGGGCGGTTCGGTGCAAAAACCAATCGAATTCACACACACACACACACACACCCTGGGGCACACACACACACACACACCCTTTGCGGGATCCCGAAATATGCTGGCAGTGCGCGCAACACGGCCGGGTCAGAGAGCGAAGAAAGGCAGGAAAAGCGGAGAAGCCAGCACGGGCATGGAGGAGGGCACAACGGCCAGGTTTACCCCGCAGCCCTGGACCCCCATTCGAGGGAGGAAGCGCGATGGCCCTGACCAAAATCTGGCGGCGAGCGCGGGGAGGAGGCAATTCGGGTTCGAGGCGCAAGGTTTTCAGCTGATTTCGTCGGCTCTCGGCGGCTTCCCAGCTTCGGGATGCTTCCTGGCCGCTGCGCCACATCGAGAGCTCTCCGGGGTGCCCTGGTCGTCCCGAACGGCCGCCGGAGGCCCGAGCTATGACCCGAAGGCCACCAGCAGCAGGGGCGGGCCTTCTCGGAGGGATCGGCAGGCCTCGGGCCTCCTGAGAGGTGCTCCGAGCCCGTGCCGAAGACAGGGGAGACTTCGCAGAAGGCCGGGGGGCTTCTGGGAAGCCCCGCCGCCCTCTGAGAGGGCCTGCTCCTTCGCACCTCCCCCCGGGCGCGGCGCCGAAAGGCGTCGCGGGGTCTTGCTGATGCCCGCGCGGATTCCTCGGGTCGGCGCCGGGGGCCCCCTGCGCCGCCCCTGGCGCGCTCCGCGCGGTCCATGCTCTGCTCTCCGGGGGCTGTGCAGCATCGTCCGCACCTTGCTTCTGCATGTCCGAGCTCCGCAGCTGCATGCACGCCCTCCTGTGCTCAGCTGCGTTCTCGCTCTCATGGACGCTGCGCAGGCCCGACGAAAGCTTGAGAGGTCCCTTCAAGTGTGTGGGGGTCCAGCGCAGATGCGGGAGATCCGCGCGGACCTCCGAGCTGTCATGTCTGTGTCATAGTTCGCTCCTCTACTTCGTCGGGATCAGTGCCGGGCGTCGTTGATTCGAGATGACGGTCCACAAACGGACGCGACGGCCGAGATCGGCACCAACGCTTCCGCGTTCCGTCCCTCAAGGGGCAAGAGCCGGCATAAACATACTTTCTCGGAGGTGCGCACGGACTTCTTCGATCGGCGCTGGGCCCCCCTCCATGGCGAGCGGAGCGCGCCAGGGGCGGCGCCGGAGGCTCCGTAAGAGGAGGAGAAGGGGGAGGAGGAGGAGGAGGAGGAGGAGGAGGAGGAGGAGGAGGAGGAGGAGGAGGAGGAGGAGGAGGAGAAGGAGGAGGAGGAGGAGGAGGAGAAGGAGGAGAAGGAGGAGGAGGAAGAGGCGCCGTCAGGGGCACCCAGCGCCGATCCAAGGAGTCCGCGTGCAGCTTCCAAAGCTCATGTCTGTGCCGTGCTCTGCTCCTCGAGACTCGGACGTGGTCACCGTCTTCTTCCCCTCCACCCCACGTCCCTTCGCCTCCCGACCGCCGCCCTCGTCAGAGGCTGGGCGGGGGCTGCGGCCGCGCTCCGCGAGAGCCGCCGCGCTCCGCGAGAGCCGCCGCGCTCAGGCCTCGCCGCTCTGGGACTCGTCGAAGTCGGTGTCGTCCTCCTCGCTCGGCTCGAAGAGGACCTTTATCCTCTTGCTGCCTGGCCGTGCCCGCTCTGCCGCGAGCCTCTCCTTCAGCAACTGGACGGAGGGCACGGGCTCTCCCTGCATGCTGAGGACCTTCCAGCCGTGCGCGATGCCTTGCTGCTCCCCCTGGGACCCCTCCTTCGATGGATCAAAGATGGGCCCTGAGGTATGGGGTCCTGAGGACGAGGTGCCTGAAACGATGTAAATCTACCCTTAGATCCCTCCCCATCCTTAGGATCCCATCCCTCAAGACTCCATCTTTGAACCACCGACTCCTGCACGTGCTGCACGCTCAGGTCGTCTCCGATCATCAGGCCCAGCGGCTGCGACAGGTCCAGGGTGCACTCCACGGGCTCGGGAAGCTCCGCGCCCGAATCGCCCGGCGGGAGCGCACCCTGGTCGATGGAGCGCACCTCGGACGCGCGCGCCTGCATCGCCACGAACTCCTCTCTGCTCGCGTGGTCGAGGCCCGGCTCGCCGCTGGTCCCGCTGGGCTTGACGAAGCGCACCAGGAGGCCGACCTGTTCGCACGGCGCGCATGTCCGCATCCGCGCCCCCGCGGCCTGGACTCTGGTGCGAGCCCCGCGGAAACGCGGCCGCACGGATACGGCCCGCTCCGCGCGGGGCACGCACGAAGAAGCGCCCAGCACATCCGCGGGGGGTCGCGGCCCAGGGGCCCCGGCCCGCGAGGCCGCGGATGCGGACATATGCTTGTCGCCCACGAGGCCTCGCCCCGCGACTTCAGCGCCTCGAGCTTCCCCTGCAGCGCGTCGATGCTCCTCACGGGCTGGCCCCCGGCGGCCACGGCGCGGTAGCCCGTGTGGATGTTCAGCCTCTCGCCCTGGGACCTCGCCTTCACGGCCCTCACCGACAGGCCGCCGTCGAAGAGCACGCCGGTCGGCCGGCGCAGGTCGAGCTGGACGTCCACGACCTCGGCGTCCTCGGGCAGCGGGGCGGAGTCATTGCTCGCCGACGACTCCGAGTCGTTGTCCACCTCGGCGACGCGCCAGGGTGACCCTGGGCAGGAGTGACCTCTGGTGCGCGGCCCACGGGAGAGCCCTCGGAGGACACCGCCAGGCGCGCAGGCCGCTGCCATCGCGTCGCACTCGGCGCTCGCAGGGCCTCCACGGGCCCGCACCGGGGGACACTCCTGGCGAAAGGCCACCCTTCCGTGCAGCCGATCCACCGCGTCCTGCGGGGCCGCCCTGGCGGCCGCCCCGCCCCCGAGGCCCAGCGCCGCGGGCAGCCTCAGGGACGTCGACAGGGCCCCCTGCTCCTGCGGCGGCGGGCCGTGGAGCCGCTGCAGCCTGCCGAAGTAGCAGCCCGCGCACTCGTCGTAGGAGCACGGGCGGCAGCAGTAGACCACAGAGCCGACCGGCAGCCGCTTCCTGCAGGCGTCGCACCTGTAGCCGTCCGCATCGGAGGTCCACGCCAGGAGCTCGTGCTTCCGAGGGCAGACGATCTCCTTGCCGCCAATCGCCGCCACCTTCATGTGGAGGTCGGCGATGTGCTTGTCGCCCTCGTAGGGCAGCGGCCAGCCCCTCTTCTCCAGCAGGCCCGCGATGGCGGCCGGGTCCCACGCGCCCACGGAGGCCGACGCCTGGCGTCGCCAGACCTCGAGCTCGTACTCCTTGGCCTCCACCCGGTCGGCCACGCCCCCGTTCCAGTCGCGCGCCTCCGCGAGGGCCCGCGACAGGCGCGCGCTCTGCTGCTCCGAGGCCCTCACGCGCTGGAGCAGGTCCTCGTACAGGCGCACGGGCGTGGTAATCACGGACTCGGGCTCCTCCTCCTCCCGAGGCCTCCCAACAGACATTTGATGAGATGAAATGAAAGAGGGCCCTGAAGGCGGCTCGTCGAAGGTCTTGTCTAGGCTTATGTTGCTCCCATCGTACTTTAGAACCACATCCCAGACAGAATTTCGAGCACCCAGAAAAGTCGAACGAGCATCGCCCCACAGGGCCCGACGCGTGACAATCCTCCGTTTTCGGTACTTCCTTGGTGCTCGAAAGTTTTCCTGGCGATCGGGATAGAGTAGGCTGGAGCATCACAGGCCCAGGCCTCCCTCGGACGCGTCGGAGGGGAGCCCGAGGCAGCGGAGCACTCGCCCTCCGCGCCCCTCGCGCGCAGACGGCGCCGTCCCCGGTGCTCCCACCGAGGGCGACAGGCCGCCCGGAGCAAGTGGGGCCGGAGGGCCTCGCCGCATCGCCGAGGCATCGCCGCTGCACCATCTGGGTCTTTGTTGTGCCCGGACGGAGGACGCCTGACCGAGCAGCACCAGGAAGCAGAGAGAGACCCTCAAGCCCGGCCGGGAGGGAGGCCTCGGGTCGGGCGAGGGGGGGGGGAGAGGGCTGGGCGGCACGGCCCGAAGGGAGGCGCCCCGGGTGCCCGCACGAAGGCGCGCGCAGTCGGGCCTCGCAGCAGGAGCGGCGGCAGGGACCCGCCCCGGGCATCCCATCCTGCGCCGCCGTGGCGAGGTGCCTCGAGATGCCACCTCGTCAGGGTCAGCTCTTTGCCTCCCGGGTCGCTTCGCTGGACGGTCCCGAGGCCGGGCGGGGGCCCCCTTGAGGCCGAACGCGGCCCAAAACCCGCCGCCCCAACTTCTGTTCCTGTGGGATTCCCATGGGAATCCTAAAAACCCTATCTAGGATTCCCATGGGATTCCTATGGGATTCCCATAGGAATCCCAAAGGCCCTAGTAGGTTTCCTAAAGGCTTCCTATAGGATTCCCATCGGATTCGTAAAAGGCCCTATAAGATTCCCACGGGATTCCTATGGGATTCCCATAGGATTCGCAAAGGCCCTAGGCCCTGGACCCCTTCTGAGGCCCATGTGGCGCAATCTGCCAGCCCGGGGCAGTTTCTGACGGTCCCAGGGCCCGAAAACGGGCCTCGGAGGCCGAGACGTGCCAGAGACCATCCTGAACCCAGAAAGACTCGAAACTCGCCCTGCTGGCTGGCTTTAGGTCGGGCGTGTCCTCCTACAGGCGGATTTCAGACGAAAATTTGAAAATAGTCACACACACACACACACACACACACACACACACACACACACACACACACACACACACACACACACAACAACAAAAAAAAACAACAACAAAAAACAAAGGCTCAAAAATACTTTAAAAAAATCGTCCCCGGATTCTTGTTTCACTATTTTTGAATATTCCTCCTGTGGAGGAACAGCCTCGAGTTAATGCTGACCCCCCGCCGAACCTGGATCCTGCACTGGCGCCGCCAGCCCGGGCGGAGGCGGCGGCACAGAAACCTGGTAGTTAACTGCATGTTCTGGTCGTCAATGCCACGTTGGAGTTATGTTGCCCCCGTCGCACTTAAGGACCACATCCCAGACATAGTTTGGAGTATCCAGAAAAATGTCGAAACAGTGACGAACGAGTGCCGCCTCAAAGGGCCCAACACGTGAAAACCCTCAAAGTTTGGCACTTTCCTGGTGCTCGAATATTTTCTGGTGGTCAAGGCTAGAGCAGGTTGAAACATCATAAATTTGGAGGTGTCGGCGCGTCGCCCATGGCGGCCAGTTGATCCCGCACAAACATGGCAGATGGAAAAAGAAAGTGGCACGCCTCCCGAGCGCCCTGCGCCCCGACCCTCTCGACCTGACCCCCCAGGCATACTCAATCGGATCTCTGGGAACGGTACTGATTGAGCAAGGACCGACCGTCCCGGCATTCCTGTAGGCCTACCACGACATGTTCTTAGAACCCCTGAATGTTCTGAGAACCAAAACCATGTTCTTAGAACATAAACCCAGTGAGCTAGAACAAAACCACCTCGGCCAGAAACGCTCCAAAAACACTTCGTGCAGACCACCAGAGGCTCTCAGAACAGTCTTCATTGCACCGACCTTCCAAACGTGCTGCAACGGATTTCTCTGTGGATTTCCGTCAACGCGAAACCCCCCAGAACGGCGAACGAAAAACGACTGAATTTTGCGTGGATTTGTGTTGGTCTTCATTCCTGGCCAAAAACAAAAAAAGAAATTCACTTCGAAATCCGGAACGAAATTCTCCAAGACAATCTGGGCCCATCCCATTGTTGACCAAACGAAATCCGCTCTGCGATGCTGGCACCATGACATTCTTCGGTGGGCCTATAGGCAAGCCAAGACGCGTCGCCACGACAGAGCCCTGGATCCTGCGCCGGCGCCGCCGGCCCAAGCGGGGGCGGCAGCGACAGCGGCAGGAGCTCCTGCTGATGGAGGCAGATTCCCCACCACCATTACCATAGGTAAGACTGGGGATGAGGAGGATGAGGAGGTCCTCCTCCTCCTCCTCCTCCTCTGCCGCCTCCTCCTCCTCCTCCTCCTCCTCCTGCTCCTGCTCCATCTCCTCCTTCTCCTGCTCCTCCTCCTTCTCCTCCTCCTCCTCCTCCTCATCCTCATCCTCCTCCTCATGACCATTTCATCATCATCATCATCATCATCATCATCATCATCATCATCATCATCATCATCATCATCATCATCAGCATCATCATCATCATCATCATCACCATCATCATCATCATCATCATCATCATAATCATCATCATCATCATCATCATCATCATCATCATCATCATCATCATCACCATCAAAATCAGCATCATCATCATCATCACCATCATCATCATCAGCATCCATCATCATCACCACCACCACCACCATCATCATCATCATCATCATCACCATCCTCATCATCATCATCAGCATCACCATCATCAGCAGCAGCATCATCATCACCATCATCGTCATAATCATCATCATCATCACCAGCATCATCATCATCATCATCATCATCATCATGATGATCATGATCATCATCATCATCATCATCATCATCATCATCATCATCATCATCATCATCATCATCACCCTGCTCCTCCTCCTCCTCTTCCTCGTCCTCCTCCTCCTCCTCCTCCTCCGTCTCTTCCTCCTCCACCTCCTCCTCCTCCTCCTCCTCCTCCTCCTCCTGCTCATATTCCTCCTCCTCCTCCTCCTCTCCTCCGCATCCTCCTCCTCCTCCTCCTCCTTCTCCTCCTCCTCCTCATCCTCCTCCGCCTCCTTCTCCTCCGGCTCCGCCTCCTCCTCCTAATCATCATCATCATCATCATCATCATCATCATCATCATCATCATCATCATCATCATCATCATCATCATCATCATCATCATCATCATCATCATCATCATCATCATCATCATCATCATCTTCATCTTCATCTTCATCATCATCATCCTCATCATCATCATCATCATCATCATCATCCTCATCCTCATCAGCATCATCCAATCATCATCTCATCATCATCATCACATCATCATGCATCATCATCATCTCATCATCATCATCATCATCATCATCATCATCATCATCATCATCATCATGATCATGATCATCATCATCATCAGCATCAGCATCAGCATCATCATCATCATCATCATCATCATCATCATCATCATCCTCATCCTCATCCTCATCATCATCAGCAGCATCATCATCATCAGCATCATCATCATCATCATCATCATCATCATCAGCATCAGCATCAGCATCATCAGCATCATCATCAGCAGCAGCATCAGCATCGTCATCGTCATCATCATAAGAATCATCATCATCAGCATCATCATCATCAGCATCATCATCATCATCCGCCTCCGCCTCTTCCTCCTCATCATCATCAGCATCATCATCAAAAATCGTCATCATCATCATCACATCCATCATCGTCATCATCAGCACCAGCATCATCATCATCATCAGCAGCAGCAGCATCATCAGCATCATCAGCATCAGCAGCAGCATCATCATCGTAATCCTCATCCTCATCCTCATCCTCATCCTCATCCCCCTCCTCCTTCTCCTCCTCCACCTCCTCCTCTTTCTCCTCCTCCTCCTCCGCCTCCTCCGCCTCCTCCTCCTCCTCCTCCTCCTCCTCCTCAACCTCCTCCTCCTCCTCTCCTCCGCCTCCTCCTCCTCTTAATAATCATCATCAGCATCAGCATCAGCATCAGCATCAGCATCAGCATCATCATCATCATCATCATCAGCAGCAGCATCATCATCATCATCAGCATCATTATCATCAGCATCATCAGCATCAGCATCATCACCATAAGCAACATCACCATCAGCATCATTATCATCATCATCAGCAGCAGCAGCGTCAGCATCGTCATCGTCATCATCATAAGCATCATCATCAGCATCATCATCCGCCTCCGCATCCTCCTCCTCATCATCATCAACATCATTATCAATATCTTCATCAGCATCATAACCATCATCGTCATCATCAGCACCAGCATCATCGTCATCATCATCCTCATCAGCAGCAGCATCATCAGCATCATCATCGTCATCAGCATCATCAGCATCAGCAGCAGCATCATCATCACAATCCTCATCATCATCCTCATCCTCATCCTCATCCCCCTCCTCATCCTCCTCCTCCACCTCCTCCTCTTTCTCCTCCTCCTCCGCCTCCTCCGCCTCCTCCTCCTCCTCCTCCTCCTCCTCAACCTCCTCCACCTCCTCCTCATCCTCCTGCTCCTCCTCCTCATCTTCCTCCGCCTCCTCCTCCTCCTTCTCTCCCTCCTCCTCCTCCTCCTCCTCCTCCTCCTCCTCCTCCTCCTCCTCTCCTCCTCCTCCTTCTGCTCCTGGCTCCTTCCTGCCTGAGGCGCTGAGCGTCCTCCTCCTCCTCCTCCTCCTCCCCTCCCCTCCTCCTCCGCCTGCTCATCCTCATCCTCATCCTCATCCTCACCTCTCCTCTCCTGCTCCTCCTCCTCCTCCTCCTCCTCTCCTCCTCCTCCATCCTCTCCTCCTCCCCCTCCTCTCCTCCTCCTCCTCCTCCTCCTCTGCCTCCTCCTCCTCCCCTCCTCCTCCTCCTCCTCCTCCTCCTCCTCCCCTCCTCTCCTCCTCCTCCTCCTCCTCCTCTCCTCTCCTCCTCTCCTCCTCCTCCTCCTCCTCCTCCTCCACTCCTCCTCCTCCTCCTCGCCTCCTCCTCCCTCCTCCTCCTCCTCCTCCTCATCCTCCTCCTCCTCCTCCTCCTCCTCTCATACCTAGGGTAGTGGTGGTGGCAAATCCGCGAGTCACCTGCGCGGAGGCGGCAGCGCCCCGAGGGCTGGCGCCGGCGGCGGCGCCCACGCTGGGGAGCCGCAGCGGGGCGCCAGAGGCCTCCAGCGCCCAGAAGGGCGAGCCTGTCAAGGGGGGCCCAGGGGCACGCAGAGAGGAGGAGGGGGAGGAGGAGGAGGAGGAGGAGGAGGAGGAGGAGGAGGAGAAAACGGAGGAAACGGAGGAAACGGAACAGGAGGAGAAGGAGGAGGAGGAACAGGAGGAGGAACAGGAGGAGGAACAGGAGGAGGAGAAGAAAGTAGGCACAGATCCCAGGATTCCCCATAGCTCCCCTATTTGTTCTGGATGCTCGTCTTACTCACACACACACACAAAAACCAAAAAAAAAAAAAAAAAAAAACTCCCCCCATCTTTTCCCATGTGTCTCTGGGGATCGGCGATTATTTGCGTCTGTGTGTGTGCTTCTCCTCTCGACTAAAAAAGGGGCCCAGGGACACGCCAAAGAAGTAGACACGGATCCCAGCATTACCCACACACACACACACATCTTCCTTATGTTCTGGATGTTCGCATTCCTCCCACTCCCCCAATGTTCCCCTATGCTCCTGGGAATCGACGATAAATTGTGTCTGTGTGTGTTTTCCCTTCTGAC